TTTCTATGGAACACAAAGTGGACCGTATTCTTATGTTGTTTCAGTGACTTTTAGCAATAAATCACTCTACGTGTCTTATTTTGTCAGTCACTATTTTTTTTTTAAATCATGGTTCTTTGAAGGAATTGACACTAGTTATAATGAATTAATATTAAAGATAAATACTAAGAGAAGTTAATTATACCACCCGGTATCCATACAACGTGTTTTTCTAGACTTATTTATAGATCAAACATTGTACACGAAAATAGGTGACGCATTCTGCCGCCGTTGCCGAGTTGGTTGCTCATGAAACATGGGTCAAAGTGAAGGATTCATAAAGAAAATCGAAATAAACCAATTTCTATTATTTTGTAGAATATCTGACGAAACATCTAAGACATAAAAATTTTTTTTTCGTTTTTTTAACTTTGACGAAATTCAGTGTTGAATCGTTATATCCACGAAAATAGGTTACACCACTGTATTATTGTTTTGTCATTAGAAAAATTATACAGGAAAAACTACTTGTGGTAAAAGGTTTTTGCTTTATCATTGAATTAATACAAGTTCTATATGAATTTTGTACAATGGATTTCATTTGGCATTAAATATGTTTGAAGACTTTTGGTTCAGCAATATTTATGAATTATTATGGATGCATTGGTGATCAACAACAGATAATGAAATGAAGTGAAATTTAATGCTGCTATTGTACATTTGTAAATATTTGAACAGGTAGCAATATTGAACATAAGGAAGTGAACAAGATGGTGTTAGTCTAAAATGAAACATCTGTGTGTCAGTGCATCTGTCATTTGAATGGAGAGACTGGATGGTCTGGTCTAGATGTTTTAAAGTCCCAGTATTATCCTTATTTTTTTTTTTTTTTCAAATTGAATGAAATTTAATAATGTGTTGCAAAAGTACTGAGCTAAATTGTTACTTTTCATTTTGTTACACATGGGTGTATTGAAATACGAATTGTGCTGTAGTTATATGTTGTTGAATCTTTGCTGATGCAGTAAGGTTGATCAGACTACATTAGGGGGTATAAGGTAAA